TTTCATTAAATTTAATTAAATAGTTATTAAAATATCTTTGATCAAAGTTATAATAAAAATTTTAATATAAATATTATATTGTTAAGAGCAAAACAGGTACCAAAATTGCTCTAATTTAGTTATACTTTAAACCATATTATTTTATAGCAAGAATAGCTTTAAAATAAGCTAACTATTGTATATTAATTATATTTTGAGAAACTTGAAAACAAGTTGTTCAACTAAAACAATGATGTAACAATACAGAATTTGGAATTATAGTTATTTGTTAGAATAGATTTGCTAGATTAGATAGTTATTTATATTGTATAAGATTATTCAAGATTCTAATTGTAATGACAAATCTGAAACTATTAAGTTTGATGAAAAAATATTTGATCTTGGGTCTCTGTACTATCTCATTTTTAAGACATCATTTTTGTATATAAGTACATCTTTTTTTTGAGTTATAAAAAAGAAAATCAAATAGAATTGTAATTATTAGTATTAGCTGAAATAATAATAAAAACTGTCTTAGTGATAAACTGAGACCTTGCATTTATGTTTTAGTTTTGCTAAATCATTCCACCTCTTTTGTGATGCAATATTTCACAACATTTAGTATTTTTAAATGACAATCTATTACATTTTTTTTGACCCTATATTTTGTAAATCAAATCTTTCTCTAATAATATAATAAATATTTTAAAATTTAAAAATAACTTTAATTAAAAATATCTTAATAACTTTTTGATAAAATTTGATAAATTTTTTTTATCTGAATTTTACAAAACTATAAAATTTAAATAAAAATTTTTTATTAAAATTGATCAAATAAACATAGTCAAATATTAGTACAAATAAAATTAGAAAAGTCTATAATACTAAAGTTGATAAATAAAAGGTTAGAAGTAATATTAAAACTTATAGATAATAAAGAGTTAGAATAAGAACTAGTAAATAGAGATAACTATTTTAATGTAAAAGATATAGTTGTAATACTATTATAAAAAACAAAGTTATTAAGATATCTTAAATTAAAATTTGGTAACATTGTTAATATAAGTGTTATATAATAAACAATTTAAGATTTAAAAAAATAATTATTATCAAAAATAACTCAATAATTATTTGATCAAATTTGATAAAAAAAATTTATTTGAATTTTACAAATCTGTAAAATTTAAATAAAAAAATTTTATCAAATTTGATCAAGTCATTATTGAGATATTTACAATCAAAATTGTGATAAAAATTTTAATATAGTTTTTTATAATAGATATTTTAAAATTAAAAAAATAATTTGTTCAAAGCTATTTCAACAACAATCTAATTAAATTCAAAAAAATCTTTTATTTGAATTCTACAAATCTATAAAATTTAAATAAAAAAATTTTTATCAAATTTGATCAAGTTATTGTTGAGATATTTTCAATCAAAGTTGTGATAAAAATTTTAATACAGTTTTTTATAATAAATATTTTAAAATTTAAAAAATAATTTGTTCAAAGCTATATCAACAACAACTTGATCAAATTCAAAAAAATCTTTTTATCTAAATTTTACAGATCTGTAGAAATCAAATAAAAAAATTTTTATCAAATTTATTAAGTAATTGTTAAGATATCTTTGATCAAAGTTGTGATAAAAATTTTGATACAAGTACAATATGATAAACATTTTAAATTTTAAAAATTAACTTCTTTTGATAATTTTCTAATAATTATTTGATTAAATTTGATAAAAAAAATTTTATTTAAATTCTATAGATCTGTAGAATGCAAATAAAAAAATTTTTATTGAATTTGATCAAGTCATTACTGAGATATATTTGATTAAAGTTTTATTAAAATTTTGATTTAAGATTTTTTTTCTAATTTATTTTGAATATTTAGTAAATTTTTGTTTAAATTATAAAGATTTGTAGAATTTAAATTAAAAAAATTTCATTAAATTTGAATAAATAGTTGTTAAGATATAATTAAAAAAAAATTTAAAAAATTTAAAATTTTATTATTGTTTTGATTGATAAACCAATGAGTATTAAAATATTTATCAAGTGATGTTCAATATGATGTTATTAATTTCATTAAAGAACTGAATAATTATGATGATTTATTTGTGATTTAAAATGTTGATAAAAAGAAAGCAAATGAGATATAAAACAAAAACATCAATTTGTTAAATAAAAAATCAGTTTCATCAAATTATTAAATATTTGAATTTATAATCTTTGCTATATATAATAGTTTTAAAAATACAAATGAAAATACAAATATGATTATTTACTTACTTGAAAATAAGATGTTAATTAAAAACCTAATATATATAATATAGATACTGTATGAAATAATGTAGTTAAAATGTTTGCCAAAGAAATAATCTTAATTGGTCAACAAACATTTGAACATTTTAGCCAATTTACAACTAGAATTACTAACTTTAATTATTATGACAATGCATTTTTTCTTATAAGGCTTTAACTTGTATTTATTCTATATTTGAGAAGACATTTAAAAACATTAATAAAAACATTTTTAGGTTAACCGATTTATACATTAGAAATCGATAAAGAAAAAGTAGATTTCATCTGTAATATTGGTGATTTTTTTATCATTTCATTAAATTACTGAGTTTTTTGAACAAATTTTCAAATGGATTTATTAATATTAATGAAGCTGAAAATGATTTGTTTTCTTATAGTCTTAAAGTTAAAAATATTTTATTTATAAACTTTTAATTATTTTCAATTCTTTATGAAATATTATTTTTAAGTTAGTAAGTTTACAATGACAAGTTATCAAGTGAAGAAAAAATATATTTATATAATTATCATCAATGTGATTATAAAAATGATATTGAGAGTCCAATTTTCAATAACATGACAAATGTTAAAGATTTTACTACTACATGAAGGAATCGGAGTCGAAATAGATAAATGCAAATCATTTATTCATTTTCAAAAATCTGCATGCTAAAGAAACATTTAATGTTAGACATTGTTATTAAATGGAATTGGAGTTGATAAGGATGAAAAGAAGGCATTCATATATTTTCAAAGATCCACAAAGATAAGTGATGCTGATGGTTAGTTTTTGTTATCAAAATGGATTTAGTATTGAAAAGGATGAAAAAAAGGCATTCATTTATTATCAAAAAAACCTTCAAAGATGGGACACACTAGTGGAACATTTCAAGTTGGACAATGTTGTCATTATGGAATTGGAGTCAAATAGAACGAATGTTATGAATATGGAATTGGTGTTGAAAAGGATGAACTTTAAGACGTTTAGTTATTTTCACAAATCTGCAAACTTAAGGAATGCTGACGGAATAATTATAATATGGTAGTCATATCTAGAAGGGATAAGAGATGAAAAAAATGAATATAGAACATTTATTATCAAAATTTGGCTGAAATGAATAATGCTGTTAGAATAATGGCAATTGGTAGATTTTATGAAGATGGAATAGTAGTCGAAAAGGATGAACATAAGGTATTCGAATATTTTAAAAAATCTGCAAAGATGGATGAGCCTAATGAAACATATCTTATCAAATGTTGTGCCTGATTTTGTTGTTGGTTTAAAAGTACTAGACACGTAGTCAGACGTTATTATACAAGTGCCAGGTTTTCTTGGGCATTGCACTAAAGTGCCTGGTACTTTGTGCCTATGGCACGGGCATGGCATAGGTATTAGTGCCCAATTATAAATTGCTTATTTTTGGATATAAATATTGATAATAAAGTTTTCCATGCTAGGCAAATTTATTTTTGGCTTTTAAGCAAGGTTGTTTTTCAGATCGAGGCGATTCTAACAGTGGTAAATTGGCTCAATAAATCGCAATTGCACTTTGAAGTTCAAGTGACGTTTATTTACACATGATCTGTAGATCATGTAAACAAACGTTACCACCGTTAGAATCGTCTCGATCGAAGAACAGCCTTGATTAGAAGTTAAAAATAGATTTATATAGCTTAAACGGGTGCTTATTTTTGGTTATATGAGAATTACAGGGGGCGCTTACTTTCAGAGGAATATAGTAAGGCTTAAATTCAATACTGTATACAATATTGTTCCAATGCAAAAATAAAATGGTTAATCGGAAATAAGAAATTTGAGCAACCTAATCAATAAACTGCAATCCTAATTTGTGAATTGTGAATGAGAAAACTGCGTGCGTACATGAGCTATACCTAAATAGGTTAGATCTGAAGTTGCTTATTTTCATGCCAAAAATGTTTATTTTTGACTAAATTCAAAAAAAATTTACTATATAAATTTGAATTTCTCTTAAAACTTCCTTTTTTTGTATTTATAAATAGCATGGGATCCTTTACGTGTTCATAAAGAAATTTTACATGACTAGCGGTTCCTATCTAGGCCTCATTATTTATACAATTTAGAGCAGTGTTGAGAATGTTTTCATATTTTGCAGTGGTGATAATAAACTTGTTTATTAACATAATAACAAGACTATTTGGAACATTAAGAATTTACTCATGAATTATAAATAACTTGTTACTTCTCTATGATTGTATCTACGTATAAAAAATCAAACAATTGATATTATTCTTTAAATGAAAGTTAGAAAACTTAGATTCTTTACTCGAGGGCGAGTATACTATCCTGTTTTACTGTACTAGGAACGGAGTGTATGTTTAAGCGGCAAGTCAAGCACTTCCGGATATTTCTTTTTATACGCATCATATGATTACTTATTTATGTATTTATTATAGATATGAGCTTATTGCCCCATTCTATGTTTATAATTAGAAATTTCGTATCGCTATCAAATCAGAAAAAACCTTGTTTACTAGTGTATCGGTTTTTCCGATCAATTTCATAAATCTAATAATAGTAATGTTATTATTACGGCATCTTACGTAATTTCGAATAATTAGTATTTGAATGTGACTGTTCATTAAGTTTAAATCTATATAAACACATTCTCAATAACTTAATGAAAAGACTATTTTAACACCGACTTTTTCTAGATTGATAAGTATTGAATTGACAATGGCTACAGGTAGCGACGTCAAAGTAAATAACAGAGACGAACAAAGGCTAGAGAATCCATGTGAGTAGTTATAATCATATTATAAAATTTAAAGTTTTTAACAATGTTTTTAATTTCGATGAATTAGCATATGAGTATTTAAGAAGATTAGAAGAATATTTAGATGAGCTGGGGATAACTAGATTCGATAGTTCCCAATTTAAGTTTGATAATGTAATTGGACATGGAGGTTTTGCGGTTGTTTATCATGATAAACTTCAAGGCACAAACTATGCGATAAAGAGATTAAAAAATAATATATATCTGGACGATGAAGCTTTTAAACGAATCAGGCGTGAGGTACGTAAATATGTATGTGCGTTTTTAGAAAAGAATACTTTTTGCACCATGTTCAAAAGACTAATAAATTTTTTTCGGTTTCATATAGATTAAGTATCACTGTAAGGTTGACCACCACCCTAACGTTATTCGGTTTTACGGATTTTCAAAAGGTAACAATTATATAATTATATGCAGATAGAAACTATTGATTTGCTGAAGTACTCTGATATTATTAAATCGCCGACAACTTAATATTAAAATTCAATGTCGAAATGCTTTTGAAAATGTTACATAATTATTATATAATAACTAATTTAGTTAGGGATGTTATACCGGTTAAAATAGACGTTTCAGTTCCGAACTGACAGTGCACTACATAAGCCAAATCTTTATATGTTAAAACTGATTAAAACCGGATTTAACATGAAAAATAAAACCATTACGTGAAGAAACCTAGCTAGTCGTATCACATGACTCGTTTCTAGTTCCACTAGATCAGTCAAACTATCGTACAGTGTTGACTAAAAGACCCCTTTTATAATATCCCTCACGATTCTTGAAGGCCAAGAATGTAAAGTACTCCGGGTACTAGAGATGGATTAATTGGACTTAGTATATAAAATATTACTGCAGCACTCATATAGCAACTTATACTTAGTGATGGGGAAAATGCACATATTATAATAACATGCGCATTAATGCGCACGAAATGTTTCATACGCATGATATAGCATGATAAAAAAAAGGCAAAAAAAAAAAAGAAAAAACGATTGAGAGGAGAGAAATCTTGATGCGTATGATTCCGCAATCATGCGCACGTATGAAACCCATCTATACTTATATCCCCTATGCTGACCATAGTATTCCTCCGACTATAATATCCATATATACAGCTTAAATTGTAAAGTACCCTGGATATTTTAGTCCACGCTGTACGGTAGTTCCACCAAACCACTTAACATCCCTCAATTTAGTGAACATTTATTTCTATTATTTTCATGTCATGTCATTATCATAACTTATAGCTACAATTATATCGTAGCGCTTTCTTAATTTAAATTCATATTTAATTATAAATTTACTAAATAAAATTAGGTGCACAAATGGGAGATTTTATGTTGATATTACAATATGCAGATGGTGGGAACCTACGAGATCATTTACAAACAAAGCAAGAACTTAATTATTATAAAATTTCATGGACTGAACTTATTAGAATTGCAACAGAAATAACCCGTGGTTTAGAACATTTGCATAATAATGGCATTATTCATCGCGATCTAGTAAGTTTTGATATTTTATATAACTACAATTCTAACCGTCTATACAATTAACGCAATTTAAGAGTTCATTAATAATAACTCTAACCATTTCTTAAAATCTTTTTAGCATTCTAAGAATATCTTAATAAATGAGGGTAAAGCCTTAATAGCAGACTTTGGGATATCAAGACAATTAAATGGATCTACCACTTCAAGTTCTGCTGTGATTGGTATGATAGCATATATTGATCCACAGTGCCTTAAAAAAGAAAACCGGCAAAATAAGAAGTCTGATATTTATAGTTTGGGTGTAATATTCTGGGAGCTTACTAGTGGGATTCCTCCATTTAATAATCTAAATGATAGTGTAACTGTTATTATGGAACTTATGAATGGTACCAGAGAAAAAATGATCGAAAGCACACCTTTAGATTATGCTAACCTTTACAATAGGTGCTGGTCTTCTTTTCCTGACCAGCGTCCAACTCTGAATGAAATTTTAATAGAACTTGAGAAGTTATCAACAGAAACAAGCATTGAGTTTATTATAAATGATATTTCTACTAAAATTGATATGTATGTACAGATTTTTGATCTAGCTTTCTTGCATTAGATGTTTTATTAATTATTAATATTATTCATATAATTGTCATTTTGAATTTAGAAAACCTGTTAAAAGTCATACTAATCCTACAGATATTGATACCGATATTGATACCGATATTGATACTGATACTGAATTACCTGAAATTGAGCAGTATCGATCTATTGACTCATTTGATAAGCGTATTGAATTGATAAATGGAAATTTAATGATTGAGTGTCCCATTCCTTTAAATTTATTAGAAAATTTCCGTAATATAAGCTCATCTGAATTTACAAGCATGAGGTATACTGCCTGTACAAGCAAACCAGATAAATTCAAAAAAGATAATTTTACTCTTCGTCAAATTGAGTATAAACCTTCAAGAGAGACGGAATTATTTATTTTAATTACATTGAATGAGGTAATAAAGGTGTAATTATTAAAAAGTTGTAATAGTACTTTCATCTAAATTAAATGATTATTTATGATTCAAATACTTTTTAGGAAGATGAAGTTCAATTATCTCGTACTCTTAATGGAGTCATAGAAAATATTGCTTACCTTTGTTCTCTCAAAGATTCTGAAATATGGGTATATATTGTTTGTTTTATTATAAATATATCGAAGCATTCTTTTAATATTTATTATTCTATTTATAAGAACGAGAATGGATGGAAGAAGATTGTTGTATGCATAATTTCTAATGGACGAGATAATATCAATGAGCACACCTTAGCATATTTGGCTTCTCTTGGTGTTTATCAACGCGATATTGCAAAAACACGGTTGGATAATAAAGTTGTTAGGGCTCACATATATGAATATACAACTCAGATTTCAATTCAATGCTCTAAGAAAGCCATAATTAAGAAGACAATAAATGATGGAATTTTTCCAACACAAATACTCTTTTGTCTTAAAGAAAAGGAGAAAGATAATGCGGATTCATTTCAATGGTTTTTTAATGCATTCTGTCCGATTCTTAATCCGAAAATATGCGTTCTTATTAAAGCTGGTGTTAAGCCAGGTATAAAAATATGTTTATATTAATTTCTTGCCACATACAGTCGTACTCCTCCATAATCACCTATATACTCATAAATTTAATATAATCGCTTTAAATTTTGAAAAAATTAATTAATAAACCTTTAAAAAATACTACTATATAGCACATAATAATAAAATCTTTGTAATCACATATTTTTTACATAGAACAAACTGAGTGGTTACGTTAAGGAGTACGTCTGTAATATAATGCTAATTAAGTTCTAATACTTTTTTATATGCATTGAAATTTCTAAAAGGGGATAGATCTATTTATAAATTATGGAAGGCATTTTTAAAACCTCAAGTTGCTGGTGCTTGCGGTAAATTAGTTGCCATGAAAGATAAAAGTTGGTGCCAATTATTAAATCCAGTTATAGGTGCCCAAATATTTGACCATGAAATATCAAATATTTTGGATAAACCATCCGAGGCGATTTTAGGTTATATTCAATCTTTGCCTGAAGAATTTTCAGCCTACCGATATCTTTCACTTCAAGATGTAACAAATAATGATGAAAGCACACCTAGTCTTTCTGCATCTTATCTTAAATATAATTATCTCCTTTGTTTTGATTTGATTTCAAAGCATAATCGTTCTTGGATACTATATTATGAAAGTTCTTCTCAAGCTGAAATCGATATTCCTACAAATTTACCAGAATTTATTGATCAACAAAGATGTTGCTTGAATCAAAATTTTTTTTCCAGATTATACGCAATAACTCATTTTTATTTGATTTGGAGAAGCGGACACTCTCTTATTCACAAAATCTTTTTACAAATCAATATTATTTATCAAATTTGTCATTTTCTTTTCTCATGGTTTGCTTTGGTAAATATTAATTTATGATTATTATTTCCATTATATTAATCTTTTAATAATATTTAATCGCTTTTCAGGGAATTTTTTGCGCGATTATAATTAAATTCGGATTTCTTGCTGAATTATTTATTATTGGCCCATATACAATTAGTGTAGTTATATTTACGTATATTATTATTATTTTTTTGCACTTAGTTTTTGCTTTTAATAATACACTTAACAAGTAAGTATCTAAATTTACTGGCTGTTTTTTTTATATATCTATGCCTGATTTTTATAATAACTTTATATTACTATTAGATGGCATGATATTATTCAATTATTTATTTCTACTTTAATGATGATTTTTATTATATATATGTGTTTTATGCTCTTGATTTATAATTATATTCTTTGGAATAACATCCATAAGAATTTAAGTTACATATTTATGTGTAGTTTTATTGTTTTAATTTTTAGTTATGTTATACTTTTAATTGTAGGTCTGATAATGTCGGGCTCATTATATATTCTTATTTGTATTCTACATTACATTTTTTTGACTGCATTTTATATTAACGGCATTAATATTTATACATTTTTAAAAAGTTTTATCAGGTAAATAATTTATTAAATTTAAAGCAGAGTACTATAGTTTTTTCTCAAAAATTTGCTAGTCTCAGATCTTTTTGCTAATCAGTTTCGTAGCTGACTATAAATTAATACTAATTAGTAAGATCGTGAGTCAAGTAATTTTTTGATATAACTATAATGCTCAATAATATTTGAGATAACTTATACAGATAATCTAGTTATAATATGTTTTTAATTATGTTTTTAAATTTTCTAACATTTTTATAATTTTTTTTAGTTTAAAACCAACGAGCCCAACTGAAATAGAAAGTATTGTTTCTTTTAAAGATGTTTTAGGAAAAGATGTTGTCAAAATTTCATTGCCAATTGAAATTAATAATAGTTGGTTAGATTCTGAGATTTGGAATACACTAAATCAAAAACATAAAAGCAAAAAAAAAGGGTTAAAAAATCATTATCATCATATAAAAGTATTTTCAAGATGGGTTATATTATTTTGGTTTTTGACTAATAGCGGTTTAGCATTAGGTTTAATTCTTGCTGACCGTTCATTAAACTTTTCTTTGAAATTTCTGATATTTATTTATTTAGTCATTAGTGGAAGAATTATTACTGGATTATTTAAAACTTTTATATATTACATTTCTAAATTATTTATTTAAATTATAAAACTATTTTTTGAATTAAATAATAAATTTGAGTAAACTAATTTAAAAATATTTAATAAGATTGATGTGATTAATATAAAAAGTTTTTTAAAATTTTATACAATTTAAAATAATTAACTAAATAATGTCATGCCAAATTAAGAGCGAATAAATATGGCTATTATTATAGTCAAATTTAAGATTGAGTACTGTTAAGGCAAAGCCTAAAAATTTAAATCTTTATCATATCTAACTTACGAAAATTGTGAGATAATTTGGGTTGCGTCAATAGAAATAAGGCAGATTGATATTTTAACAAAATTAAATAATTGACTTTCACAGCCCATATTTCGATGAATTTTGAAGATATATTGATGGATTAATACTCAAAAGAAAGTTTAAGGTCTAAGCTTCTTTCAAATATTAAATTATCAAGATTGCTTTCGTTAAGATATAGGTTGTGAAAGATAAAGTACTAATTTTTAAAAATGTCAATCTGCCTAATTTCTATTGACAGCAGCCTATTTAATTATTGCATTGCTATAGTCCGTGTTCTAATACATATTATATAAGTTTTTCTGATGCATTAAAAATTTAGAGACACTTTAAGAACACACCCAAAAAATGTGTACCAGGTTGGGTTCGGATAATCGCCCGGATGATAGTCCGGATGATTACTTAAAAATTACAGCTATTATTATCAGTCACACGAGATGTCACGCAAATCACAGGTATAAAATTTTCTATCATGGTCAGATAATCGAAGCAGGCCCAACGCTAGATCACGGTGCCCGGAAAATGTACCGACGATTATCAGTCACCTGAACTGAAGAAATACCGAAACACCAAAAATCGTATCATGTAGCCTAGAACAGGTGGCACGTGACCTAAGTGGCCAATTTAGATTGTGATCCGAACAGAAATCATTAAACACAAAAGACGAGCATGCATTTCCTAAAATTTCCGAACTTAACTTTAATTATAAAATTAAATTAGTGTGTGAAGTGATGGTACATTTTAAGATCACAAGACAAAACAATTGCAAAAGCAACTCAGGCGAAGATAAATCTAAAAGGGGGCAACAATGATGACAGCACATGCTTGGCGCAAAGAATCAGGAACAAGAAGACAGGTAATTGCAATATAAGTGCAAAAGACAGCGAACTCAAGCTTTTCCGGCACTGGAAAAACACTAAAATGAAATTCACATTACTCATCCAACTCACCCAAATAAGATGACACATGATTACATCATTTGCGGCCAGCTTGCTTCTGTTGTGGAATGACTTTGTCATTTTTGACCAATATGGTCAATTGCTTTTTATCATGTATTCTGCTAAACTTAATTCAATAAAATATCATCTTCACATAAATCATCAGCAGCATTGTCCAAACATTGAATGTTGTATAAATGAGTGTTTTTCAGCACAATTAAACTTTAATCAGAAATCTAATATATGATCAATTGTTGTCATTGTATTTATATAATGCAATGAAATAATAACTTATGTTAACTACAAATTAACTTCAATTGAAAAAATTTATGCACATTATGCAATATGAAGAATTATTCTAACTCTCATGAACTCTTATAATAAATAATGTAGTGGTAGTGATAATATGACCCAATTTCTAATTTCAAAATTTTTGATTCAATTTTAGGAAATTAATAAAATTGTATTGTGAAGTTAAAAAGTGAAGAAGTGGATGAAGAAATTAACCTACCAATAAACTTTTATGTTCCTTTAAATATATTATTAGTTAAACAGATTAAATTTGGCTTTTCAACTTTTCTAAAAACAATAATTAAAATAAAAAAAATAAATAAATAAAAGTGATTAAAAAATAAAAAAAATAAAAGTAATTAAAAAATAAAAAAAAATAAATAAAAGATAAATAAAAAAAACTTATTAAAAATAAAGCAATAATAATAATAATTAAGAGTATTAAATCTAATAATTAAACAATCTATATCTTAATCTCAGTCATAAATCTTGATTGGAACAATTAGATTTTTATTCAATTTAATTGTTTTATTGTTACTACTATTACCTGTTCAAGCAAAAAAAACAGCAGTTTAAAACTGCTAGTACTACAAAGTATGTATATATTACAAAGAAGTTAGATTATAAAAATCTGAATAACTATATTTGGTTAGATAAGAAGATTGATAAGAAAGTTTTTGATTATTTTATTATATTATGAATAGCTGATAAAAATAAAGATGTTTGGAAACCTTTGGGTAAATCTTTAACTTATATTAGAGATTTTAAAATAACTTTAAGTTAAAAAAAAACAGAATTAAAAAAGACTGTACAAAATATTCAATCTATTATTGCCTACTTTGTTCTATTTTAATGTATTTGAATGTTGCCTCTATTTCAATCTTTATTTATAATTCATTAGCAATATTAATAAAAATTAAATCAATAGAAGTAGAACTAATAGAAGTAAAGTAATAGAAATAGAATTAACAAAATAGAATCAATAAATATAGAATTAGCAGAATTAGGATTAACAAAGATGAAATTAGCAGATGTATCAGTAAAAATTGATAAGAAAATGAAATTGAGACTAGCAATTAAGAAATTAGATAGAATGGTAAAAAAAGATAACAATCAAATAGATAAAGGTATAAGAATTTATTTCTAAACATTATTACAATATTTATAATTAAGATACTATTATAGTTAGAATAGAATAAATACAAGTATAATAATTACTAGTTTATTAAGATAAGATGATTATAAAGTGCAATATATTGGTACATAAACACAAAATTAAATAAAATAAGAAAATTTTTAAAAAATAATCATAGTAAATTTACAAAAGTATCAAGCCTTATTGATAATAAAAAAATTTTTATAAAGGTATATATTTTTTTAATAATAATTTTGTACATAATATCTTAATTTTTTATAACTTATAAAATTATATTTTGAATAGATAATGTCATATTTAAAAAGTTATATATTTAGTATGAATTCTAAAGTTCTAAGAAAATATAAAAAGAATAAGGTATTCTTATATTTAGTCATCAAAAAAATAACAATATATGAGAAAACAGCATAAGAATAATTTAGAAAATTAAGATAAGTGTATAAAGAGTAGAGAAAAAATATATATATTGATAAGCATAAGCAAGAGAATGCAGTATAATATAAAAAAATAGTTTTTTTTATCAATAATAAAGGAATTGGAATCTGTTTTTATAAATATAATAACAAAGATCCTACTAAACTAGTAGAGAAGAATATTCATTTTAAAAAAAAGACATTATATAATAAATATAATAAGACAATGTTAGCTACAAATAATAATAAGAAAACAAATTAAAGACCTAAAAGTTGTTTGTTATTTTTAGATCAACTTTTATTTGATGAAATTATGATATATTTTTATTAAAGTTAAATCTTTTAGTATTAATTATTAATAAATAAATACAAAATACATTTAAAAAAACAAAGTCAGTGCATTTATATTAATAAATTTTTGTATAAGCTGCTAGATTAAATATATTTAACTAAAGAGCAATATATAACTCATTCAAAAATTCCAAAACATTATATTATAAAGCTATTGGAAATTGGTCTAAATTATAAAGCTTATTGAAATGTTTAATTGCTAGCTAAGCAACTTAAATAGCCAAATTATATTTTAAAAATTGTATTTTTAGATACAATGTTTGTTTTTGGATTTAATAACAGTTTTAGTCATGAAGACATTGCTAAAAATACATTGGTAGCAAGCTAAATGAGTATTGGATTTAAAGATAAATAATCTAAAATTTTACCTAATTGCTTTTCTAATAATATAATTTAAGAAATAATTTTTCTTTAAATTATTAAAACAAAAAAAAGAAAACAATTAAAAAGAATTGCAAAAGTAATAACAGAAAGAAGAATATGAAATAAAAAATTAAGAGAAAAGTGTGTTAAATGCTCAATAGATAAAGAAAAAATATGCTGCAATATGAGAAATTGGCTAAACAGTCTAATTTTATTGAATAAAATAATATTCTTAAAGAATTTATTTTTAATCAAGAACACAAAATTGTTTATTATTTTAAGTTTATCTGAAAAAAACTATATTAAATACTATTAGAGATTAACAAAAAGACATGCAAGAAGCTATTGCAATTATACTTTTAATAGATTAAAAAAAATTATATCTAAGACTTTTTTTTTTTGGTATTAAGATGAGGCCTTGCTCATATCTTTATTGGTAGTTTTTAAAATTAGTAACTTCATGGAGTTACTATGTACAAAAATACTTTTGTATATAAATGCTATTGCCGAGGCCAACACTTGCAGTTAGGGCTAACCATTAAACTGCTAACTATATATAACTAACTTAAGTACAAATAAGAGGAAAATTACATTCAAGAATGAAGCTCAGACATATTTATCTGTGACCTAAACCTACTAGAGTGGTCAAAACTCACCTAGATTTGGATAGTTAAAATATAATTAAATAAGATATTGTATTTGATTCAGAGAATAGTCCATATATTGATTTTTAATAGCATGACCAAGTAGTGGGCATGTGTTAAGGTTTGAGTATACTTGGTCTAATAATCTCCATATATATGTGTATGTATATGTCTGGCAGTTGTACATAGTTTGTCTATTATAATTAGTTTGAGTTAAATGTTTAGAAAAAGGAAGTTTAAAACCTTGTTATTTTTTCTAATTTAAAAAGTTTATGCAATATGGTTTCCAGAGTAGTTTATAGCATAGCTTATTAATTTCAAGTAGTATTTTAATAACTGTTTGTAATGCTAATTTGTAAGGAATGTTAAGGTTTTGAATTGTTTGAATTAGGGACTTGGGTATAAGTCTTTTAAGGATAATATCAAGATAGAATGAGTTTTCATTAAATAGTATCTGATGAAAGGTTTTATGGTTTAGAATTTTTTGAATAAGTTCTTCTTTCTGTAGTTTGGAGAGGTTCAGATTGCTTTGGTTAATATGTTTGAAGATAGTGTCTTGAATAATACTAGTAAGTAGTGTTGGATTAGAACATGTCCACTAGTGTATTGAGGAGTCAGGAGGTTGCAGTAAAAGCAGTTTGTATTATAGAAAGTATGTGGATATATTTTATGACAGAGAAAGTGTATATGTAGTTCATTTAGTAGAGTTTTGATTTTGAAAGATTTGAAAAAATTAAGTTTGAAGTTGGTTATATTATATGTTGGTTTTTGGTTATAATTGAAGTATAACCAGGTGGATCTCCAATCTATTTTTGAAATAAGTTGGTTCCATTTTTGGTTTCATTTTTGAGATGACCACATTGCCAAGATGTAGGTTTTACAAATGTTTTTGATAAATGTTCATGTAGGGTGTTCTATAAAATGTTGGTTTCAGAGTAGCATGTGGTATAGGTTGTAGATATTTGTATAGTTAAAGTGTAAGTCTGGAGAGAGATTATGTTGCTTGGC